CTCATTTCACAGCATCTATTATGTTTGTGGCAAACCTGGCCCTGGGACTCTACATCCACTTGGGTCCACAGCTTCCAGCCTCCAACACCACCATGGATCTGACCAACGTGGCCTTCGAGGGTTCAGGGTCAGGAAACTACCTTATGCTGGTGCCCCTCTTTGCCACCATGCTCTTCATCATGGGTAAGCGCTGCCTGAGTTTCCATCCCCCAGGGTGTGGGAAGGGATGAAGGGTTGAGAAGGTGGAAGAAGCTAATTTATCAGCACATCCCTGGGGGGGCCTGGGTCACTTCTGTAGCCAAAGCCTTGCCTGGAACCCAAAAGAGTAATTGGGATTCTGGGGGCAGCTAGGTGGTGCAGTGGATAGAGCACCGGCCCTGGAGTCAGGAGGACCTGAGTTCAAATCTGGCCTCAGACACATAACACTTACTAGCTGTGTGACCTTGGGCAAGTCACTTAACCCCATTGCCTAGCAACAAAAACAAAAGAATAAACCAAAAAAAAGAGTAATTGGGATTCTGGAATGAAACCCATATTTTATGGGTACCTATGTATTTGTGACTGGTGTGCGTCTGTAGTGTGTATGAGCTTGTGAGTGGGGAGATGGTCAGTGATTTATGTGGAGTGGTGGACTGGGTCTATGTGAATCTGAGGATATGTATGTGGTGGAGGCCTGGACTGTGGTGCATGTATAACTGTGTGTGGGGAGGGCGGCGAATCTGACTAAGACGCCCTCTGAGCTGGCATTATCAAAGGCATAGCAGCCAAGGGTAGCTAGTGTAGGGACGTAGAGTGGACAGATGCCCCAACACGGATAGTCTCAGGAAGCTATCTGATTAGAGGGTTCCCAAGACAGAACAGTAGATACTGCGCTGGGCCTAGAGTCAGAAAGATCTGGGTTCAAATTTGGCTTCAGACACTTACTAGCTATGTGACCCTGGGCAAGTCACTTAACCCTGTATCAGTTTCCTCATCTGTAAAGAGCTGGAGAAAGAAATGGCAAACCACTCCAGTATCTCTGCCAAGAAAATGGGGTCGTGAAGAATTGAAACGACCGAACAAGATAGAGCAGAACTTCCCTGCGATGGGGTTGGCAGGGGTAGGCTGTGGGGGGGTAGTCACTCCCTTTCTCTTTTCACAGAGCCATTCTCACCCTCTACCACCCACCTTGGGTCTTACTCTCTTTCCATCAGGCTATGCTATGGGCTGGGGCCCTATCACATGGCTTCTCATGTCTGAGATCCTCCCACTGAAGGCCCGAGGTGTGGCCTCAGGGCTTTGTGTGCTGGTCAGCTGGCTCACAGCCTTCGTGCTCACTAAGTCCTTCCTGCTGGTGGAGGTGAGTCCCATTGCATATCACAAGGCCCAGACATAGGGAACAGAGATGGGAGGGAAAGGGCTAAGAAGGTGGGTTTCTTTCAAAATGACCCCATCCAGTTCTAATGTCAGCGGCTCCAGCTACCTGCTGCTCCATCCCTGGACTTGGTCATTCATTCATTCATTCATTCCTTTATTAGTTCATTTGTTCAAATAGCATTTGTTTGACATACGTAATGCACCATGCTGGGTGTCAGAGGTACTGTCTGCTCTCCTAGACTTTATAGTGTCATAGCAGGGAGAAAAGATTTCAACGGATATAAGGCAAAATGTGATGTGGTGAAAGTACAAGTGTAAGGAGGGCAGCCATTTAGGGAATGCAGGACAAAGGTCACTCACTAGGCTCTCTCTGCTAGCTCCCCGGGCATGACATGAGCTGAAAGGAATTCACTCACCTCAACCCAAATGTTGAATAAGTCTAACTTGGCCCTCCTTACACCTGTCGTTTGTCAAGAAGGAAAGAGTCCCTGGTAGGCAGCACATGTCAGAGAGGCTGTCTTGGAGGAAGCAGCATTTAAGACCTAAGATTTCAAAGGTCAAGGCGAAGACATTACGTTCTACACAGACGAAGTGTCATGAGCAGTCAGAAGGGCTTGTGTAGATAGGTATTTAAAAGGGTTTATTCAATTTATGGAGTGAAAACATGCAGCCTATCTTGTGAACCGTATCACTGGTGCAGAGGCTCCAAGTAGAGGAGAGTAGTGCGAGATAAGGTTAGAAGGGTAGCCTGGGCCTTGAAGGGTCAGGCTGAGGAGCTTAGGTCTGGTCTTGGAGGCAAGGGGGAGCCAGGGAAGGTTTCTGAGTGAGGCAAGGATGTAACGAAAACAGCCGAGGTTGCTTGTCAACAACTGCTGAGTAGTTTCAAGACTCAGCTGCTTCCTGCGGCTTTTGAGCCAGGGGTCTGCCTCTCCACGCGATACATTGATACTAACTGGGCTGTTCTCATCCCTCCCCTTTTCTGTTCCCTATATTCTACAGAACGCCTTTGGCCTTCAAGTCCCATTTTACTTCTTTGCTGCCGTCTGCCTGGTGAATCTGGTCTTCACAGCCTGTTGCGTGCCAGAAACCAGGCGCCGGACCTTGGAACAAATTGAATCGTTCTTCAGAACAGGGAGAAGGTCCTTCCTGAGATAGTAAGGTGCCTCAGCCTCCCGGGCCAGGAGGAGAGATCAGACTTTGGGGGACTGGGGGGTCCTCAGAGGCAGGGTTCAGGAGGTGACATCAACACCAGATGGAATTGGGAAGAACTGACATTACCTTCTGATTGAGAAGTGGTGCCCAGGTCTGTCTCCAGAGATTCCTGGTCTCAGTCTCTGCTATACATAAGGCAGGTTTGAATATGGCCCTCCAACTCCACCTGCAAACCTCTAGAGTCACATTGCCCCCAGACTGCTAGATTCTGTGGGCCAAGCAAGCAGAGCCCAGGGAGAAGGCCAGAGACAAGGGGCTAGTTCTCATTAATCAACTGAGATCAAAGAATCAAGATCCAAGAGTGCTGGAGAAGGAGTGAGAAGAGCCAGCTCCAAATTCTGGCTCTGCCACCAACCTCTCTCTCACCCTGTTATCATCCCTGTTCAGTGGGCATCATAATTCCTACCCTGCCCGCTTTGCAGCAGAGTGATCATGAGGAACAAACAAAATAATGAATTTGACAGTATTTTGGTAACCAGGAAACCCTGCAATGACATGAGAAATCCTTGTTACTGGTTGTTATGTACCTCTAGTGGTACATGGTGGGATATGGCTTCTGTGGACTGGTGAGGCAAGGACCTACTCACCCATAACTGGATGTTGCCTGGGACATTTGTCAAAGACCCCAGAGACCTGAAGGGGAGGCAGAACATGTTCAGTACCCCATCCATAAACAGGTCATAGGAACTTAACAGTGGAACTGTTGAAATCAAGCCCCAGGTTGGGTGGAAAGCTTGTCACCTAGCTCTGAGGTTTTCCTCCCCTGACCTCACACTGCCTTTTCCCCTTAGGGGAGAAGAAAGGAGAGTACGGGAGCTGGCCAGTCCACAACCTCCTTAGAGAGGAGAAAGAGAATGAAAACACCCTCCTGCTGCTCACATTTCACACAAATACCCCAGTAAGTCCATGTCTAAAGCCCTTTGTAAATGAAGATAATACTTTATGCATTGTTTCCAGGGGGGGTGGGTTGTAGTGGGATTGAGTTGTCCCAAACCATCCACATTCACTTGCCCAGCTGCCTCATGACTAATAAATTTTCAAGATAATTGGCTGGGATCAGGGTCCAGTCTGTACTGACAGAACAGAGCAAATCTCCTTTGACTCCTAAGTAATCTTTTCCACACCTTGGGGTTTAATCGTCACCTCTGTAAAATGGAGTTGGACTAGATAATCCCTAAGGTCACTTCCAGTCCTGACATGCTGTGATTGTGGGAGAGCAAAGCTCTCCACAAAGGAGACTAAATCCAGAACTTGATCTCTCTTTGTACAGAATTCTATAACTAGCTGGGTTGCCCATTTTCCATGAAATAAAAAACCAAATAGAACTTTTCAGAGGGCACAGGACAAATCACTGGCGAAATCTGGGTTCCTCAAAAACATCCTCACCCCAGCTTGGTTCACAGCATTTGTCAGGCTTGGAAGTACAACAATTGGCTGTCTCCTTCCATCCAGCCATGGCCTAACCAACTTTGCCCTGATAACATAAGAGTGCTCTAATTTGGAAACCTTTCCTCATCTAGCCTTAATATCACTGTCAGAGATAGTCAGCTCCTCACCGTTGCCCCAGGTTTTGGCAAAACTGTGAAACTTCCTCAGTAGCCTAGAAAAGGTTTGAGGGGGTTGAGGAGGGGTGATGGAGGTACAGAATGCAACCACTGGTTTAAATATCTGAAGAGGGATTAGATTTGTTATAATTGGTTCCAGAGGTCACAGCTAGGTTGAATTACCAGGAGATAGGTTTCAGCTCAATATAAGAATGAACTTTTGCAGTCATCCAACATAGAGTGACCTCAAAATTTAGTGAGGTCCCTGTCAGTAGAAGTATTCAAAGCCAGATTAGTCACCTGTCAAATTCGCTATAGAAGTGATTCCTGCATGGGACAGGAAGTTGAACAGATAGCCACTAAGTTTCCACCCAACTTTGAAATTCTGTAACCTCTGAGCCCTAAGATTCTAAAGTTCTGTAGGTGCCCAAGGCCCTAGGATTGCTCCTAAGCACCTCCTACCACCAGGAAAGAAATGATTAACACATTAGTGTAGAAGCTAATATAGCTCACACTCAAGCACTCATGCTCTCTCTCTGTATACACACACACACACACACACACACACAGAGCTTTGACAGCTGCACACAGCAAGTGGACCCTTTATCTGAAAGTTCTGCCTCCCACACCTAACCTATTGACCTAATGGGGAAGAACTCCGTGCTCTAATACCTGCTTTATCCAAAAGCTTCTAGAGGCTTTATAGGGAATTTTACTCAAACTTTTTTATGCCTTATCCTTGTAGTCATCCCCAATGGCAACAATTTTGGTGGTCCCTATGATATGACTAATGTAGGTATTCCTGCCCCAAACTTCAGTCTGGTAACCAACCCACCTCACTTGTTTTCAAGTTCACACATTCAGAGAAAAGCTTTAAAAAAAAAAAAGTCACACTGACAAATGCCACATTTTATTGCCCAAAATGCAAATGACACTGTAAAGCTAAACAAGGAAAATCTAGATAAATAGAGAAAATTCGGGAAAAGGAAATAAATATTCAAGTCTACAGCAAACCCCCCCATGGCTCAGGATAGACAGATCTTCCTCAGACTCCCTTTGCCCTTTATTTTGGATATCATATAGCACAATGGGAAGAACGCTGGCCTGTGAAGCAGGAAACCTGGGTACTGGTCTTGGCTCATCATAAACTCTATATGACAGCTCTCCTCTCTGGGTCTCCATCTCATCTGTAAAAAGAGTTCTACTAGATGACCTTGAAAATTTCTTCCAATCTTATCACTCTTATTCAAAGCACCAAAGCACCAAAATCCTCACGTCTGAAAAACAAACACCCTCCCTTCTTGGTTTAGGTTGGACACACTCAGCAACCCCCGAGGATGATGTCTGCCCACCTTATGAAGCTGCTTCTCAGGGATTTCGTATCGACTAGCAAACCTAAACAGAGCACAGGAATAAGGCATCACTAACACTCAACCTAAATGTCACCTGAATTCCCTGAGTAACTGCCTGAGCTACAGTAGTAAATATATAGGTAGGCAGAAAGGCAAAAGGAGGCCTGCCAGGAGAATCATTCCGATCCACTACCAGACTCCTCTGTATACTGCAACCCCTCTGTGGTGGGATCTCTGCTGCTTAGTTTTTGCTTGATCTTTTAAAAAAAAGACAGAAATCTCCACACTCTATAAGGAGGTAAAATGGTCTTCACTGCATACACAAAAAGATGGGATCATCCTGCAAGCATAGGAGAGTACTTGCTGCCTTCTCCAACAATGCTTTCAATACAATGCTCTTCAGATCCTGTTTGGGCCACTTATGGCTGAGAGTCACTGTAGTGATCCATGAACTAAAAAATAATGTCTCCAAAGAGAAATGGGCTACCTCCTTGAAGACATATATGCCTTTCTCCAGAGAGCCAGATCCCATTTTATCCTTAAATAGCTTGCTGAGACTAAGCTTGGTCTGGCTCTGTGGACAGTATGGTTCCATACTAATACGCTTACCTGCTTCCACAAAGTCAACCATATTATAACTGTGACGATGGGGAGAGCTAACATTTTCTAGAAAAGGTTTAATGCCTCACTTATCTAGTTCTGCATTTCTAGTGACACTGTCCAGGATGCCCACAGCTCCTAATAAGAGTGTTTAACATCCAACCACTGCTCAGCCCTTCCTGGTCACATGGCTCCTGTAAGATTTTGGCTAGTGTTATATCTAAGACCTTATTATGACTCTTTCTTGCTTGAGATGTACCGGCTCTGTAGTGTTTTTACTTGTACAATAGTTGGGCCTCTGATAGCCGATATAAAATATTATATAGGGATCAACCAATCCCTTTGCACCCAGAAAGGAATAAGGCCTGGCCCACTATAAGGGCCTACATTAGTTCTTCTGAAAATTTTAACAGTGACAGGTCCTTACATCCCGTAGGGATTAATAAATGCTGATTGTTGCCATCAGTGGCCTGGATGTCAGTTAAGGATACTAATTAGTGATAGGAAGGAGCCAACTAGGCCACAGGATGCAAACAGGCAGAGGTCAGTTAGATCACTGCCTTAAAAAACACAAAACAGCAACATCAGCAGCAAACCCCCAAAGGTTTCACCTGGTCAAAAACTCACAGGTCAGAGTGAATTCAAGTGAGCAACGACCATGCCAGTGGGGAAGTCTGGGGTATAAATTCTCCTAGAGACACACACAATGGCTCAGTTTGGGAATCCAGCTCCCAAACAGTCTGTACTCTCACAAGCTAAGTTCAAAGCCCTTGAGGGATGGAAGGTGGCAGAGAGTCTGTTCTCCATACCTAACTCCCAGATCTACTAAGTAATTAAAATTGCAGCAAGAAGAAAGGAAGATGTGAAACACCTTCCCACAAGGTAAAATCTTCTGAAATATTAGCAGAGGACTCAATAAAGAGCCCACATCCCCAGCCTCTCCCCTCCCCCAAGCCAATCTGGGCTGTCCTCTACTACTCCCCATTCAGCAGCAACCCTGGAAGTCCTTCAGGGCCAGTGACCAAAGGAACTCCACAGAGGGTCAGTCTTGGCGCAGCATAAGATACAATCAAGTGAAACTTTTACACCAGCTCAGATCAGACCACTGCATAAAGACTGAATGACTACTGTGGTCATGTGTAAGTCTGAAGTCACAGGCACTGCAGGAGATAAAGTCTGAAAAGGAAAGGTGGCAAATGAGATTAGTGAGCAGTCCAGGAAGCAAACAGCTTGCGGTGGAAGAAGAAATGTTTCTAATGTGAGCTTCCTCTCCATGCCCAGATCCCAATCTTGGACGTTAATGCCACAACGTAGAGAAGCCTCAGGCCAAAACCACCATTCCTGCCTTTAATTTGGGGTAGTATGCCAACCACTGGGCTACCTCACCCTGGATTCATCACCAGACACCTGCATCTCTACTGTAGCTAATACAAGATGATTCACTGGGCTTGAGGGCTTGGAGGAAGAAAAGGTATAATGGGGGGAATATATCTCAATATGGGAAAGAATAGCAAGTACAGACATTTGAGAATGAAGGGTAGATGTAGGGACTTTGGGCTTTGAAATCAGCTGGTGTGATTTCTTCCCACATCCCCATGGATCCATCTTCACAGATAATGAACCCAAAACTACAGTCCAACAGGACATGGAGAAAGGTTCTATTTTGGTCAGTTCTAAAATGACTTGAGCTATTGCCCACACATGTGGGACCTGGGTCACTGAAGACGACCTGCATCAGAGCCCCTGCTCTGGGCTCACCTAGAGGAAGGCTCAGGAGCACTCCTCTGTACACCTTAGCACCAAGCACCTCCTGCTGATAGCAGGGCTTGGCTACCCCTTGGTCCTGGGAGGCCAATGGGGAATCACCAAACGACAGGTAGGATGGCATGTAGATTGATTTGCATGAACTCCCATGGAAATTCAGAGGGAAGTGCAGAGAATATCACTGGGACTGATCTTCCCCTATCACTTCCCATGGTTTCAGGTTATTCTCCCTCTTGTGGAAACCAGTCAAGAACCTTCCTGGGCCTGTAGCGTGGTGAGGGGAACACAATAGCCAGTTGTCCTAGCCCTGAGCTCCAGCTGACCTCAGCACTTTGACCCCAGGGTAGGGTCAAAGGAACTACTGGGAGGAGAGACATCTCACATGTTAATAAGCTCAAGTCTATCTTTTCACTCCAAAGCCTTTTGCATCCCAAGTGAGATATAAAGAAGAGGTGATCAGAGAAACTGGAAGATCCTTTACAGATAGCTTATAAGGATCCAGAGCTTTCAATGTCCATAACTTAATGTAGCAAGTGGGGAAACGGAGGGACAAAAGGCAAAGAGGAAGAAACAGGAGGCTCAGCTAGGCCCAAGATCAAGACGATGCCTCAAGCCCACAGACAGCTCTGGCCCTGACCTGCTGGACCTGACTCCTAGTGAAGGCAGATCGCATACCAGACTCTGGCCTCTTGAAATGCAGCCCCTGCCATCACTGAACCATATCTTGCCCCTGAGTGAGAAATGGCCTTGAATGTCAGTTTGATGTAACAGATGTAAATGGGGATGTTTTGCCCTGTCCTGTACAGCAAGGCCAGAATCCCAGGTATCTTCTACCTCTGAAGAACAGGGATGAAAGATTGTTTCAGTTAGTTTCAGGTAGTGGAAATGGGGAAGCAGTGTTTACTCCCACATCTCTATTGGGCCATCAGATAATTTTCAAAATATATTAAGTATGAAAGTCAATCTGGCAGCCAGTTACAAACCAGTCTATAGGGGCAGCAAATGTGAAAGAGGTTGCTTGCTCTGCTCGATTTCCAACTGAAGAACTCATGGCCCCAGGAAGCTGGGCAGCCGAACTTCCTCCAAAGGACTCTTGTCTTCCAGACCTGTCTTGTGACTCATGATTTCTGCTCCTATTTTCTGTTGTGCCTGCCACAGACCTTGTTAATTTCATCCCTGGCTGACCTGAAGTCAATAAGCAGATCCAGCCCAAAAGCAGCAAGTCTGGTGAAGGATGCAAGTGTGTCTTCAAGTGATAGGGTGAGAAAGATGGAGAGGCAGGATCACCTGAGTTAGTGTTTCCCAAGCACTCACTATATGCCAGGCACTGTCCAAGAGCTGCTAATTAAATGCTTTTCTCAAAGTTGCCATGTGCTGACAACACGGTCTTTGTCCTCTCCACTCCACTCTGACCAAATGTCTGTCCTCCCACAGAAAGGGAAGGTGTGAGGGCCAGCAAACTGGAACTAGAGAAGAAAGGCTCATCTTAAGGCCCCAGAGGAAGGCCCTGAGCCTGGGCCAGATGCTCACAGCTCCCCTTCAAGGGTCCCTGTCAGTTTCTCCTCATCTGCCTGCTGCTTCTGCAGCTTCTGCTGCTGGATCCTTGCATAGGAAATTGCGTCACCCCTACAAGGAAAAAAGGAGTCATGACACGGTCAGACAGAGCAATGAGTAAGAAGCAAAAAGTAAACCATAGTTTTCCTCCTATAGGTTGAGGCTCAATTTAGGGTGGATTAAGCTATACCAAAACTCTATAAACATTCGTTACAGGTTCCGAGGAACTTGGTGTCTTGTGTTAATTTTGTTAGGAGAAACGTAGGGAGATGCTAAGTTTTGTGAGCATAGAGGGTTTTACTTGGTGAGGTTTAAACCAGAAATAGTTTGACCGACCCTGTCCCCAACTTGTCATATGCACAGTCCTATTGTGGGATGGGCTATTCTGATGTCAATTGTTCTGCCTCGCAGCTGACTCAGATTACTGTCCTCTGGCACCAATTCTTCCCAAAGACTAACCACACTCCATTCTGATTTCCCACTTATAGGGAATCATAGAGCAGGAAGGGACTTTAGAGATGGTCTAGTCCAGGGGTGGGGAACATGCAGCCTCAAGGTCACATGTGGCCTTCTAGGTCCTTGGGTGCAGCCTTTTGACTAAGTCCAAGATTTACAGAATAAATCCTTTTATTAAGGGGATTTGTTCTGTGAAGTTTGAATTCAGTCAAAAGGCCACACTTGAGGACCAGAGGACCACATTTGGCCTCAAAGCTGCAGGTTCCCCAATCCTGACTAGTATAACTCCCTTGTTTTAAAGATGGGGAAACTGAGGCCCAGAAAAGGGAAGCAATTTGCTAAGGTCCCACAGGTGGTTAATGGTAAACTCAGGTCTCCTGACTCCAAGTTTGGTACTGTATCCGCTATGCTGGAGCTCTGGGTTCTCATCTCGCCTCCAGCTAAACTCCAGGAGTTGGTAAGAAATAACCTGCTAGGGAGTCAGAAAGTGTCACTGATGCCCCATCTCCTATTCATACCTACTCTTCGTTTCTACAATATAATATTCTTCAACTCCATGACTCTTTGCATTTGACCCCCAACTGATCTGGTGACTGTCTCTGCTCAGCCCTTTGGTTTTCCTGAAAGAGTAAACTGTAGACTGTTAGAGAAGCCCAGTGGAACTCTCCAGCCAGAGGATGCCATGCCAGGAGTGGTGGGCACGTTTATCCTGCCTTTCTCCGTAACGTGCTCCCTGGGGACCTTAAAGGGGGTATTAAGCCATCAGAAAAGCTGAACTGATGATCTTGCTCAGCCGCTGCGTTACTACATGATCTCAACTACAAAATGGAAAGAACCTCCAGATCAGCCTTAGTTACAGGTGTCAGGACAGTCAACAACAACAAATGACTTGGCCACATCAAAATTAGCTGAAGAAACAGACATACTTTTTGCCAAGTGCTGAAAGTCCATAAAGCACGCCTGTGGAGAAGGCAATAGCATTTCCCAGAAGGGTGGTCAGAGTCAGGCTGATGAAAATGGGGAAAATTGCCATCCTGTGGAGAAACAGACAAGAAAACCAGAGATTATGGGGGATCCTTAGAGGCAGACTCCTCGACACTACTTGTAAGTGCAGCTGCCCCCCTTTATTTCCATACCAACTCCACCTCACTCTGATCTTCCACTTGGAGATCATCTAGTCCAGAGATTCTCAAACTTATTTGGCCTACTGCCCCCTTTAAAAAAAAATTACCCAGCATCCCCCTGGAAATCTACTTTCTTTAACCCTTTAGCAGTTTTTTAAAAAAATTTTGCATCACCCAAGGCTACTACTGCCCCCCTGGATCATTCCAGAGCCCCCCAGGAGGAGTTATCATCCATTTAGGGAACCTATGATTCTAATCCAACTCTCTCCTCTTAAAGATGGGGAGCCCAAGGCCCAGAGAGAGACTATGACTTGTCTAAAGTCACACAGCAAAATAATGGCAAAGCTAGGCCTAGAACCTGGGTCTCAACTCCCTGGTCAGTCCTCTTTTTACAGTGGAGGATCTACTCCTGTTACATCTTATATCTGAGCTATAGGGAGAATTTCAGGGTTTCATACTTTTCTGTATCACCACAGCACTTAGCACACAGACAAGCAACCAAAATTCCCACATCTGATACGCAATGGAGCTATTGTCTCAGTACTGAGGCACTACTCTGATTCTGTGTTTGGCCACAGTGTGTCTCCACCATTCTGTTTCATGGATATATATGTCTTACATTTCTACCATGACTGTAAGCTTGCGTGTAAGGACAATGTCTTCTGTCTCTCTGACTCTCCATCTTCACAGAGTAGCTAATATAGGCTGACTTGAGTGCTCAGTAAATACTTAGAGAAGTAACTTCAGCAGAGCATCTAACAAGCAAGTGAGAAGCTAAGCTCTGCACAGAATTATGGTAAATACTGTTATGAAGCCACCCTTCAATCTTCTCCTCTATACTTGCTCAAGCTCAGTTCCTGTTCTCCTAGCAGGTGATGTTTAAGTGGGAAAACAATGGATTTGAAAAGGGAAAACCATTTGGGATAGTCGCACCTAGCAGTCCTTGCCACTGTGCTCCAGGCCAGGAAGCCAACAAACAGTTAATGCTATGAAGTTTCTCTGACAGCTGTTCAGGCCTCCTTACCCGCAGTAGAAGACAGCCTTCTGCCAAGGCCTCAGCCGGTCAGCCTTGTCAGCAATTGTGTTTGCAAACTCAATGAACTGGCAACAGAAAGGTGCCTCACACAAAAATAAAATGAAGGCATTTAACCTGCAGGAGGCAGAAGAGAAATGGTGAAAGTCAAATGGCTGGCCAATTGCACAGGGCAAACCAAACCCCACTCAATGACTGTCCCGAGCATGCTAATCTGTCGTTCATATTGTTAATGACAAGAACTCTAAGAAGGATATAACATGCTCGCCCAAGCTTCCCAGCCACGGATCTTAATCCTAACCATCCCGCAAGGGATATTTCAAGCTGTGCTTCCTCCTGGAAGCTGTCCTTGGCCCCAAGGCCACAGGCCTCGCCCTTCTTGGAATGCTACTGCACACAGCACCATCACAATGTAGCACTTCTTCCGTGTTTTCTAGATGTTCATTTTATTTTTCCAACTGCCATGTAAACTCCTTGAGGGGAGATTCTGGGTCTCATACTTCTCCTATGCTCTTCTTATTGCCTATCACAGAAGTAAGTGTTTTCATAAATTATCTGATTTTTAAGAATGTGCCCACTGGCCAAATTATAGCTGCGGGGGAAAAAAATCTCTGCTTAGGAGAAAAATAATTTAAAAACAAGCTGGATTCAGGACCCTTGGAGCTGGAGGGACCCCAAATGATCACATTACCCAGCCCAGTCTCAGCTGGACAGGGCGTTCTACTATTAACTCACCACGTAATCCTGGACAAGGCACTGCCTTTCTGGGCTTCAGCTGTCCTCCTCTTAAAAACATGGGTTTGAATTACAGTTTCTAACCTCTCCTACAGCTGTTATAATTCTGCCATTCTATGAATATATAAGCCAGTAGGAACAAATAGACAGCTATCTTTAAAATTCTCTGGACATAAACTACTACTCCCCATCCCTCTTCAGTTTTTAATTCTTTGGCTTTGTAACCTATGAAAGGCAAGTTTTTTCTGTTTAACCAAACTCCCTTTACATACAATTTTTAAAACTACCTGATACATTTAGTTAGCAACTCCCTGTTTTCTCTTGTTTGGTCCTCAGTGGAACTGCTCAGCTTATTCTTTGCAACTAACTTTTCAGTCTTATAAGGAATACTGACCTTTTCTTCTCTACCAACTCTTGAAAAATGGCCTATTTTCTATCTCTTTGGGAACTCCTCTCTGGACCTTCTTCCACGTCTGTATCTAGCTTTACCCAATACCTCTGCCTCCCCCTGCCAGCCAGATGCTATCACTGACCTGCTTCTCTCACCCATGACCTCAGACCATCTATGTGAAGGAACTAGTTTCCACTCCAGCAGGAAGCATGTAACAGTGGGAGACAGGAGAGTGGGAGGTAGGAAAAAAGCCCAATTCCTCAATACTCCCCTCAAAAATAGGCACAAAAACACCAAAAAGAAAAGTAACTATTAGAAACTCTCAAAAAATTGTTTTTAAGGGGGAAAAAACCCCTCAAAAACAAATAAAGAAGAGTTCCAATACAATAAAAGACTATGAATTAATAGAAACAGAGGCAGAAACACCAGAAAGAAATAACTAAAAATCATATGATTGAAGTAGACCTTGACTCATTATCAGGCTAATCTCAGTGTATTCTGATAGTTGGTACCTTGTACAGAATCCCCAGTCTTCTTACCCCAAGTTTATTAATGCCACTGGTACCCTTTACTACAGTCTGGTTCTCACAGTCCTGGCATCTACCTGATATTCCCAGTTCTGCTACTGCTCAGGGTCCCAACAAGATATTCAGTTTTTCCAAAATCTTTTTACAATGTGGAAACCCATGCATAATGCTCCAATAAGAGTCTGAGTATGAGACTCCCTATCTGATCTAGGTAAGAAAGGAGCGAGGGAGGGAGAGGGGGAGGAAGGAAGAAGGAGAGAAAGAGAGGGAGGGAGAGAGGAAGGAAGGAAGGAAGGAAGGAAGGAAGGAAGGAAGGAAGGAAGGAAGGAAGGAAGGAAGGAAGGAAGGAAGGAAGGAAGGAAAGGTTTATTAAGCACTTAGTAGGTGCCAGACACTATGCTAAGCACTTTACAAATATCTCATTTGATCCTCACAAGAACCTTGGGAGGTAAGTACTATTATTCTCCCCATTTTACAGCTGAAGAAACTGAGACAAAGAGGGGTTAAGTGATTTGCCCATGGTCAAATAGTATCTAAAGTCATATTTGAATCCAGGTCTTCCTGACTCCAGGCCCACTGCTTCCATTGGCCAGATGCTTCAAAAAGAGGGGTAGAACATATGTATGAAGGTTTAAAAAAAAAAAAAAGAGCCCTAACCTGGAAATCACATCCACCCAACAAAGACAAGATCAATGGTGTTACTTACATCATCCACACACCGGCTGCAATGTTGAGTGGGTTAATGGTGATACAATTGAAGAGGCCAGAAATTGCACAAGCTTGAAAATAAGAGATATTGACTAGAATTAGCAGCAAAAAAGGAACAATACCAAGCAGGAATCCTGGCTGGAAATCTGCATTATTAAATAACTAAAATCCCTTAGGTTTGTCTAACAACTTAAACTTTACAAAGTACTTTTATACACATTTACTTATTTGAGAAACAAGCTCAGAGACGCAAAGTCACACAGGAAATCAGAGGACAAGGTCAAGTTCAGTTCTCTTTACCCAACTCCATGCTGACACTACTACAGTCCAAGAAATCTAACTCTATGGCAGACAGGAACACAGTCTTCTCTAGTATTCTCCCTGGAGTCTAGAACAGGGCTCTGAAAGCAGTGAGCTCTCAACAAAGAGTTATACCAGACAATGAGGATGGGACAAGAGGAAATCAATCAATAAGCATTTATTAAATCTATTGCATGCTGGACCTTGGCCACTACGTCCTAGGGATTTTTACCCTCATTCTATTGAGGGATACAGGGAGAAGAAATCTGTCTACCAGCAAACATAAGGGACAAAAAAGAAACCATCCATTGTCCTAAGAAGCTTTCATGCTATAGGGAAAGATAATATATATCCAGATAAGTATATACAAACTAAGGTAAAGGCGAGGTTGGGGAGGAAGAAGGGAAGATTAGCAGCATGGGGATCAGGAAAGACTTCACACAGAAGATGATGCGTAGGCTTAGCCTGGAAAGAAACCAGAGATCTAAGAGCTGGAGGAGAGGAGAGTGGGCATTCCAGGTCTGGGGGACAAAGACATGGGGCCAGGTGATAGGGTGCTCTATGTGAGGAACAGCAAAGAAGACCAGTCTGGCTGGACCACTGTGTGTGTAAAGGGAAGTAATGCATCAAAAGGCTGGAAAGGTAGGTTGGAGCCAGGCTGGGTATTGCTTTAAACCCCCAAAAGAGGAGCCAGTACTTTACTCTAGCAGCAGAAGAAAGCCACTGGGATTTATTGAGCAAGTGATGTGACCAGAACCTGTGCTTTGGGAAGGATGTGGTTAAGGAGGATGAGTGAAACTGAGTCAAACTTGTTTAAGCACGAGGGAACTGGTGCCTGTTCCAGGCACAGAGAAGCTCACTAGGAAGAGAGGAAGGTAGATCCTAAGCTCAAATATGACATCTCAGCAAGGAAAAGAAGCCTGAGGCCTCACAGCAGGGTGGGGCAGTCATCAAACAGTTCATTAAACTTGCACCAGCTTTTCTGCACCTGATCTGGCTAACATGGACTGGATTTCTCCAGTGAAATTTTATCTGGGTTACAGGAGATAGGGGAAGGAAATGAACAAGCCAAACCCAAAGCCAGCCACCTACTCTCCCTCAAGAAGACGCCCGGGCTATTCTTCCTTCTGGTGCCGATAACGCTTGCTACCTAAGTTCTGGATTAATTCAATTCAAAGAACATTTATTATATTAGCACCTCTTACACACAAGGGATTGTGCTAGATGTAGAGACACAAAGATTAAAAAATAATAATAATAACAGGATTCTAGCCCTCACAGAAGCTGACATTCTATGCAGAGCATGAAACGTGGTAATTTGAGGAAGGGGAATAACTAACAACCGGGGAGGGGAGTGGTCACAGAATCATAAAACTCTAGATTTAGAAAGGCCCTCCGTGAATATTTAGTCCAGACTCCTCATTTTACAGATGGGGAGGCTAGGCAGTGACTTCACTCCAGGTTAACACAGGATGATGGCCCAAATGGTGACAAAAACTAAATTTCTGGGCCCCCCCCACTACCAACACTGTTCTTCACCAGCTGAGGATTTATTTGCTCACACAAGTCAGTCAGGGTGGGGAGTACAGACAGAATGGAAAGTTTAGGAGAAGGGGTTCTATTGGGAACTTGCAGGAAGAAAAATAGCTCTTTTCTCTAATGTTTTCTTTCCTTGTGAAAACATTAAAAATGCTTTGTTTGTTTTGTATTCTTTAACTGGGTTATATGGTAAAGAAAACAGAAGGCTGAAGGCTTTGGGCTTCACAGGATTCCTTTAACAGTTAGGTCCCCAACATAACAACAGCAATATTGTTTTAAGAACACTCTGAGCGACCAAGTCATTCTGACTATTATAAATCCCCATATTAACTACAAAGGTCCTGTGAAGGAAGATGCTATCTGCATCCAAAGAAAGAACTGAGAGATATATACTATTTGTGTCTAATGGTAGCCATCTCCAAGGTAAGGAGGAGTGGGAGGGAGGAGGAAAAAAAGAAAGTCACATGATAACTTTAGTTGTATATTTAAAATGAATAGCAAGTGGATTTGCAGTTTCTTTTTTTCTATTCCACTTACGTTATGAAAATGCTTGTTTTAATTAAGTTCAGAATTTTTAAAAACAAATTTTTTTAAAAGGACCCCAACATACCTATTTAATCTTTCAATTTCTAGATTACTTTGACAAGTCAGGGCTCTTTAATTAAAGGGAGACGAGAAGAAGCCTAATACTTTACAGACCTCATATGTCTCCATAATTTTACTACTCTTCCCTGTTTCCTCATCCATCTCTCCTATTGAAACCCTACTGACCCCTATTAAAATGGGAGCTCCTTAGGGCAGGGAGCCTGTTTTTGCCTTTTTTGTATCCCCAGTATTCAGCACAGAGCCTGGCACAAAGCAAGCATTTAATGAATGCTTGTTGACTGACTCAAGGACTAGCAACTTCTTTACCAAGAAGTCTTTGCTAAATCTTCCCGGTCAAAAATCAATTCCTTCCTCTTCCAAAGTCCCCTAGCACTCTTTTAAATGCCTCTGGCATTATATGTCTAGGTGTATGTTTGGTCTCCCCTATTAAACTGTGAGTTTTATGAGGATAGTAACTGTGTCTTAACGACCTTTGCGGCCTTAGAGTTTATTGACCTTAGCCTGAGCTCCTTGGCAGAGATCTAGAAGAGCATTGGTTCTGCAGTCAGAGAAAACAGCTTAATATTCTGCCTCTGAAACTTAACTATCCCAATGACTGTGGACAAGCTGATTAACCAACTTGAGCCTCATTTTCCTCAAATGTAAAATGAGAAGGTTGAACAAGGTCACCATTAAGGCCCTGAAGATCTATGATCCTGAGAGAAATGATTATTTTGCTCTCATATTAATAATAAATTACTGGATTAGGATCAGGATTTTTTCAGAAGCCTGTACCTCTTTCAGTCTTGGAAAGACACTGAGGATAATAAAACTGAATTAACTTTCCTAACAATCTTATTCAGAACCCATCTAAGTGGGGAAGCCCATGATGTTCTACCCAGGCCTGGGTGGAGGTAAATTCTTTGATTAAACTGCCCAAGACTGGGGCGACTTGGAAGTAAATGACATGATCAAGGTCATGGTCCCCTGACTCCTCATTAGACTAGGTCCACCTCTCATCATAATATTCATTCTCTCTCATCACTTGTTAACCAATCAGAGCTGATTCCGAGGGCATATAAGCGTTGACTGAGTACCATGAAAGGTCTTCGGCACTGGAGGGTATCACTGCCCATTTTAGTAATAGTATGCTAACATTATTAATAAAACGATCAATCATCCAGAAAATATATCTCTCAAACTTTTTAAATGTCACAATCCTATGACCACTGTTTAATAAAGTATTTAAAGAATTACATTGACTTCTAAGTCGCTTTGTTGTTTCAAGGCCAGGGATAAGCAGAAACATTGAAACTACAGCAGTACTACATTTAGCTGTCACTGAAGGAAAGAGCTATTGTCCACAAGTGAATATTCCAAATAACCAATGATTATTCCATAGTAATAATAATAACAATAATAATAATAACTAACATTTATGTAGCACTTACTATATGTCACTGTGCTAAGCACTTTACAGTGATTTCATTCAGTCTTCACAGCAACCCTGCAAGGTAGATGCTATTATATCCCTGTTTTACAGATAAGGAAATTGAGCCAAACAGAGGTTAAATGAGTCTCCCAGGGTCACACAACGAGTAAATGTATGAGATCACATTTGAATTTCAGCCTTCCTGTCTCCAGTCCCCGTGTACTTCTCCTCTAGTTTAACAGCCAGGCTCTAGTTCAGGACACCACCCTAATTCAGGCCTTCACCAATACCCCTGTCCCGCCTCACAGCAACAACCTCCTAATTGATCTCCCATATATTCAGTCTCTAATTCATCCTCCACTAGGTGCCAAAAGCACGTTCCCCTTCTCAAGAATATTTAGCGCTTCCCTTACGCCTCTAAGATAAAACACGAACTTCTCAACCTAGCATTTAAAGACCTTCAGTTTGGCTACAGCCTATCTTTCCAGGCTAATTTTGTATGACTCCCCTTTTCACGTACTCTACATTTCATCCAAACTGCCCTACATTCTGTTCCTTTAACTCAGCACTCTATCTCCTCTCTCAAGTTGTCCTGCATGCTTCAAATGTACCAGCCTCCCTCTTTTTTAAGCTTTAATAATTTGTTCTGTTATCTGAATTTTAGAAACACCGAGAAACAGGACCATTTTTATTGCAGTCAATCAACAAACATTTATTAAGTGTTCATTATATGCCAAACACTGTGTTAAGGGCTGAGATCCAAAGAAGGTAAAAACAAAAACTCTGAGCTTCTCAAGTAAGTCAAATTCTAATAGTAGAGAAGACATGCAAGAGACTATACACACACACACACACACACACACACACACATACACGTGATATATACACTGTATATGGAAAGTAATCTCAGAGGGAAGACACTAGTAGTGGGAAGGACCAGCAAGCCTACTGCAGAAGATGGATCGATCTTGAAGAAAGCCAGAGAAGTAAAGAAACAAAGATTATATGAGAAATCATAAATCTCTATTACATCACTTTTAAAAAATATATAATAGAGTATCAAAGCTGCCCTGCTTGTCTATGACTCCGCCTCTGAACTTCCTTCTGTTCTCTTTTGTGCATTTTTGTTTTTTTAAAAAATGCTTCAATGACCCTATTTTCTTTTTCTTTTTTTTTTGGGGGGGGCAGGAATCATTATTACTAGTCCCTTCTTACCAATTTTTTTTATAAAACCTTCCCTTGTAACAAATAAGCATTGTCAAACAATTGCACATACTGGCAATCATCAAAAATGTCTTGTTTCCTTCGTACTTCTAGTTCATCATTCATGAGGAATTGGGCACCATGCTTCAGCCTTGACTCTCTGGAGTCATGGCTAGTCAATGCATTGATCTGAGCTTAATGCATTCTCTCTTTATCTCCTCTCTTAGGATCTTTAGCTTTCTTGAAGATGTAACTTAGGTTCAGGCAGTTTTATAGAAAGAAATCCAAACTACCTAAGGCCAAATTACTAATAACTAGAGAAATGCAAAACAAATCAATGCAAGAGGTCCGTCTCACACCCATCAGATTGGCAAAGCGGACAAAAAAGGAAAAGGACAAACGTTGGAGGAGCTGAAGGAAAACAAGAACATCAAAGCATGGTTGGCAAAGCTGTAAACTGGTCCAACCGTTCTGGAAAGTAATTCAAATTATGTCCCCCAATTACTTAACTATGCATACCATTTGACCCATTAATAGCCAAAAAAAAATCAAAGAAAGAGTAAAAGGTCCTGTATGTACAAAAGTACTTATAGCAGTTCTTTTTGTAATGGCAAAGAACTGGAACCTAATGGGATGTCCATCTGGTGGGGAATAGTTGAACAAATTATGTATATGAATATAATGGAATACTACTATGCTATAAGAAAAATAAGCGATGTTTTCATAGAAATCTGAGACCTGTTGCAGAAGAAAGTGAATATAACCAGAAGAACAATGCATACCATAACATCCTCATTACAAAAACAAACAATTTTGAATTCTGACCAACATAATGTACAATCATGATTCTAAAGAAACAATGATGAAAAATGCTACCCATCTCCTTGACAGAGTTGAGAGACTAAAATGCAGAATGAGACATATTTTTAAACACTGCAAATATGGGAATTTGTATTATTTGACTATGCCTGTTATAAGGGGTTTTTTTTGGGGGGGGGACAATAAATGGTTGATAATTGGGAAAAAATAAGAAAAAGATAATTCAGATGCCACTTCCTACCAAGAGTTTTTCCTAATCTCCTTAGCCGAGTTCCCTGCTCAAATTATCTTGTTATTTATCTGTGTAAACGTCCTAACCCTTCAATAAAACAGGTAAGCTCCTTGAGAACAATGATTGTTTTTTCATTTTGGATGCCTAGCACAAGGTGCAAAACAAATGTTTGTTAAAATGAACTGAATGTATGACACGCTTTCCTTGACTTTTTAAAATGCAGACACAGGTAAAATTTTACTTAATGAAAGTTATCATTAAGAACATCCATTATTGGACTATAATGCCATCAGGGACTACTGAGGTATACAGGACTCTTCGCCTCTACCCTGATTCAACTGAGGTGGCTGGGCTTTTTCGTATGCTATATAACAACTATTTCAGATGCCCAGAGATCTCAGTCATTTTCCCAAATCCCCCCACCTCCACCCCATACCTTCCTCCTTTCTACCTCTCTAGCACACTCATGATGCTTAGTACTAGTGGGGAAAAAAGGGAGGCATGGCTAAGCAGATTATATACACATACATGTAAATATATATATATATAAAATATAACGTATGTATGTATATACACACATATGTGTAGGGGGGAAAACCTTTGGAATGCAATGGTTGCTCTTTCAAAAATTCATTTTCCTTCCTTTCTATACTTTCTCTCATATACCTCACTATTCACTGGTCTCCTTGGGGAAGTTAGAATACTACTTGCTCCTCATTTCTACTTCCAGACTTTCCCTCTAAACACCATCACTCAGCAACTTCTCTTCTTTTGAGGTTTACACTATTTAAATAACTAACATTTAAATCGCACTATCAACAAATCCAGGTCCTGGTGGCCTTTCTCTATCAACCTCTAGGCCATTCTCCTTTCCGCAATAAGTTCAATGCCTGGTTCACAGTCTTTCTGCCCCAAATCCTGCCTTCAAAATAGAAGGTTTCAGTACACAGACTGATACTTCAAATCCAGTTCCTCAATCTACTTCTGACCTATATTGGTAAAAGGGAATATCCTCATGTGGAGAGCTCCCTATACCAATAACATCACAGGTCCACATCCTATCCCTAACCCTAACCAAGCACACACGTGGATTGGTTAGCAGGAAGAGCCTCAACCTGAGACCAAGCATTTGTCAAAGCTGGGAGCTAAGCAAATCCTTTCCTTAATGTGCCAGTCTAAGCTGCCGAGGAGGAGAGACCCACTAGTCTCCTCTGCCCTATCTAACAATGAGTTTCACCTCCCTCCCACCTGACCAAGAATATGTTTATTATTTCTATAAATATCTGTTGTAACTGTATTCTGTGACATCAGATCACCAGCCATTTCCTTCCCATCCATATCTTAGGGCTCAGAACCCTTTCCATTAGTAGCTTAGCAACTGTCCCATTGCAAAGTTAAGCAAATGTTAGGAGCTCGACTGTCCCTACCCAAGGCTAATCCTCATTCTTTCATCTAGATCCTATCCAGTAATGCAGACCTATTGAGCCGACTGTCCCACATGCAGTGTGACCCTGGGCAAATCACTTCACCTCTGCCTCGGTTTCCTCATTTGTAAAATGGGGATAATAACAGTATCTACCTACCTCCCAGGCTTCTGGTAAGGATTAAATGAGATAACTGTAAAGCTCTTAGTTCAGTGCCTGGCACACAATACGCGACTATACAAGTGTTAGCTATTAGTTATTATTATTTCTAAGGTCTCTTCCAACTCTAAATCTATGCTCTCCAGTCTATGTGCTGACATCCCTGAGGGAAGGGTCAGTTCTTCAGTTCTTCGTTTGCACCAGACACAGAGCTTTGAACTTAGTAGGTATTTAACAACTACAATATCCCTCTAGGAAATTTTTCCTCGTCCTCTTCCTGTTGTGACATTCTGCTGTGTCAGGATAGATTTGCATGGGCTTTTTATTTATTTATTGGGGGAGTGGGGGGACAGAGAAGCCACGAGAAGGGGAACTGGTGATAAAGGATGAAGCCAAAGACTCGACTCTACAAAAAGACGTTTCCAACCAACTGCTGCCGTGAATAAGGATAACGCTGTTGGGAGATCGGCAGGAGGGCGATGTCGGGAAGGAAAAGATGGATGGGCTGCTTCATTCCCAGTCCTCCCCCTAAACAAAATGTGCTTTTCCACATAACACGTATGCAGAACCAGGATCCCAGACAGTCGGGAGGTGGGGAGGCAAAAGCCCGGGGGCTGGAGGTTCGGTCCAGCATTTCATCCGGGAGAGAGACTCCAGTAAGGGAGGGGGAGAGATAACCTACAGGAGGCGTGGAAAAGATGGGGATGGGGTAGCGTGGCAGGAGGACGGCTCCCGCAGGAGGCGCGCATGCGCGCGCGAACCTAGCCCAAGGGGCTGGGAAGAGGGGAGCGAGCCGACGGGTGGGGGCGGGGAATACTCACAGATGCCCCCCAGGACCCCGGCCAACCGGCACAGCCAACGGTACCACCACATCATGCCATCGTCCTGCGGGGGCGGAGAGGAGGCGTCGGACGACGAGGTCTCCCCACCCAGGGAGCTCATGGTGCCGTCCGGGCGGGAGGAATCCTCCCCCGGTGCCCCTAATCCCCTTCCTCGCCGGATCCCGTCACAATAGAGCAGCCCCTCCGCCAACCACCGGCAGCTCCACGTCGCCGAAGGCGCGCTGAATTGTGGGGGATGTGGCCCGGGGGTTGTGGGACTACACGTCTTATTAGCATATTGGGGTGTGGCTTGGGGGGGCAGCCTCCGCAGGTGCGAGCAGCTGCGGGATCCGCCCACCTAACAAACAAGGGGAGGAGCTTGTAGGAGGGGGCGGGGCCGGCACTGACTAGGTGCGGGAAGGGAGAGGCTGGTGCTTCCCTCTGAACTCAAAGGTGAGACTGAGGCTTTTGGAGATTCGAAGGGCACGTAGGCGTTACCGAAATTTAACAGATGGAAAAACCCACACTACGGTAAAGTGACTCCCCAAGATGACTCCGCAGGTTAGTGATGGAAAGAGCAAGGACATGTGGTTGGAACCCGCGCTCTGACTTTGAGCATAATCCAGCTCTAACGCTTTCTGCAAAGTGCCCCGCCCCAGGATAACCTGCAATCTTATCACCACGAAGAATGATTCAGGTTTTGATACTCAACACCTCGACTCACCCTCAATCATCCCTCCCCTCTAATTGGAGGGAAGAGCGTTCAACTCCTACAAAGCCTTCCATTATAGAAAGTTCACAACGTTCTGTTAACTCCATTTTCCACCGCAGCTCTGCTTGGTTTTTGTTGTTATTTGGTGTCGCATCTGACTCTTTGTGACCCCTTGGACCATAGCACACCATGTCCACTATCTCCTGATGTTTGTCCAAGCTCATGTTCAATGTTTCCATGACCATATCAATCCATCTCATCCTCTGCCTTCCCTTTCTCCTTTTGCCTTTAATGTTTCTCAACATCAGGGAATTCCAGTGAGTCCGGTCTTCTCATTATGTGGTAAAAGTATTTAAGCTTAAGTATTTGTCCTTCCAGTGAACAGTCTGAATTAATTTCTTTAAGTACTAATTGATTTGAGCTCCTTGATGTCCAATGAACTCTCCAAAAACTCTTCTCCATCACCTTAATTCCACTGATTCTTCAGTACTCAGCTTTCCTAATAATCCAGCTCTCAGAGCCATACGTTACTACTGGAAAAACCATAGCTTTAAATATACAAACCTTGGTTGGCAGCATGATGTCTCTGATTTTAAGTATGCTCTCCAGATTTGCCATAGTTTTCCTTCCAAGGAACAAGTCTCTTTTAATTTCATGGCTTCACTAACTGTCTGAAGTGATCATTCAGTCCAAATATAAAATCTGACACTGTTTCTGTTCCTTCTCCATCTATTTGCTAGGAGCCGATGGGACCTGATGCCATGATCTTGTTTTGCTGTTGTTGTTTTAAGTTAAGCGTCAAGCCAACTTTTATACTATATGCTTTCACCTCATCAATAGGCTTCTTAATTCTTCACTTTCTGCTTTCAGAGTAATATTGCCTGTGTGTCTGAGATTGCTGATATTTCTTCCAGCAACCTTAATTCCGACTTTTGATTCAACCTGTCTGGCATTTCTCATGATATGCTCTGCATAAAAGTTAAATAAGGTGAAAATATGCAGCCTTTTCATACTCCCTTCCAATCTTAAACTAATCACTTGTTCCATGTTCAGTTCTAACTATTGCTTCTTGACCCATATACAGATTACTTAGGAGACAAGTAAGATGATCTGGTACTCCCATCTCTTTGAGGATTTGCCATATTTTGTTGTGATCACATAGTCAAAGGCTAAATTTAGTATATAGTCAATGAAGCAGAAGTAGATGTTTTTCTGGAACTCCCTTGCTTTCTCTATAATCCAGTGAATATTGGCAGTCTGCTCTCTAGTTTCACTGCCTCTTCAAAAACCCCCTGCACTTCCCAGTTCAAATATTGCTGAAGCCTAGCTTGCAGAATCTTAAGCATAACCTTATTGGTGTGCAAAATAAGCTCAATTTTTTGGTAATTTGAACATTCTTTGGCATTGCCCTTCTTCAGGATTGAGACATAAACTGATCTTTTTCCAATCTAGGGGCCACTGTTTTCCAAATTTGCTGGCATATTGAGTGTAGCACTTTAACAGCATCATCTTTTAGGATTTTAAATAGCTCAGCTGGAATTCTGTCACCTCCACTAGATTTATTGTTAGCAATGCTTCCTAAGGCCCACTTGCCTTCATTCTCCAGGATGTATGGCTCTAGATCAGTAACCATACCATCATGGTTATCAGTCATGTTAAGATCTTTCTTGTATGGTTCTTCTGTATATTCTTGCCACCTATTCTTAATCTCTTCTACTTCTATTAAGTCTCTACCATTTTTTTCTTTTATCATGCCCATTTTTGCTTGAAATGTTCCATTGATATCTCTAATTTTCTTCTTGATTTCATGTTTTTCCCATTGCTTCCTTCTATTTCTTTGCATTTGAAAAGAAATACCTTTTAAATCAGTTACTATTGATTACTTTGATTTATTTTTAGTTTGATTGTGAGATTAAGCTTCCTTCTTTAGGAAAAGCTAGCCCTAACAGCTATGCCAAACATAGATATTCTATTAAGTCTAGATTACCTATTGATTTAGTGAATAGGTGGATTGATAAGACTTTTATCATTTAGCAGTAGATAATTTAGGGTAAGACATATATCTTTGTAGGAATAAAATGATCATAGGATTATAAGACTCTTTTTAAAGGTTTAAGTTAAGGGGGCTGACTAAAGGTTAATTTCATCTTTCCAGTCTTAGTAGATAAGCTCCTTTTTTTTTTTCCCCTTGAGCGAGAGGTTAGGTGTAAATTGAGGTTGGGTTTCCCTTCCTGGCAGCTGGAGGATGACTGCTAACTACAGACCACAAGTTCCTCTTTCCCAGTCTTAGTTCAAACTAGAGGCCCCTTTAAAGTAAGCTTTCTGATTATAAGAGGCATCAGCTGTAGGGCAAGAATTTTTGGCATGATCTCTCTTTGACAGCTGAATGTTGCCACAGTACAAATTTGGGTTAAAAAAGCCTATGAGAAGCAAATGAGTCAGATGACCTGTCTTGTCCAGTTGAATTATGTTCAAGACAAGTTTCCCCGTTGCTGTAATTTTTTTACTTCTCTTTTGTCTTATAAAAATAAGCTCTGTAAATCACTCCTTTGTCACTAATTACCAAGGAATTAGTTACCTGATTTAATAGTAACCTAGCGAACATTACTATTAAATCATTATTTACTCAGAAACTTTGTACCTCAAAATTATTTTATATTTCAGATAATTTTAATACATTGCTCATTTAAGAAAACTTTATCTCTCCTTGCTCTTCTCTGGAATTCTGCATTCAGTTGGGCATATCTTTCCCTTTCTCCTTTCCCTTCACTTTCCTTCTTTCTGTATGTATCCTTTCCCCTGATAAAGCCACATCAGAGAGCCATTTCCTTTCTTACTCGTTTTTCTTTGGGATGTTTTTTGTTGCTGCTTCCTGTACAATATTTCCAACCCCTGTTCTCATTTCTTCAGGAACTCTATCTACTTGATCTAATCCTTTAAATCTATTCATCACTTCCACTTCATATTAATAAGGAATGTTATTTAGGTCATGCCTTTATAATCTAATGGTTTTCTGTCTTCAAGTTAAGTCTAAATTATGCAATAAGAAGCTCATGACCTGATCCACAATCAGCTCCAGGTCTTGTTTTAACTGACTGTGTAGAGCTTTTCCTCTTTTGGTGGCAAAGTATATAATCAGTCTGATTTTGATATTCACCATCTGGTGATGTCCATGGATAGAGTCACCTTTTGGGTTGTTGAAAGAGTATCTGCTATGATCAGTGAATTATCTTTAAAAAACTCTATTTGTCTCTGGTCTGCTTCATTTTGTACTACAAGGCCAAACTTGTCTGTTATTCCCATTATCTTTTGATTTCCTACTTTAGCATTGAGCAACTCTGGCCTCTCTGGAATCAGTGGTTGGAGCATGGACTTGTATTACTGTGATATTGAATGGCTTGCCTTGAATTCGCAGAGATATCATTCTGTCATTTTTGAGATTATACCCCAGTACTGCTTTTCTCACCCTCTTATCAATTATGAGGGCTATTCTATTTCTTCTAAAGGATTCTTGCCCAAAGTAGTATATATAATGATCACCTGAATTAAATTTACCCATTCTCATCCATTTAAGTTCACTGACACCCAAGATATCAATGTTCAAACTTTCCATCTCCTGTGTGATCACCTCTAGCTTACCTTAATTCATAGATCTTAACATTCCAGGTTCTTATGCAATATTGATCTTTGCAGCAGTGGACTTTCCTTTTATCACCTGACATATCCACAGCTGAGCTTCCTTTTGGCTTTGGCCCAGTACTTCATTCTTTGTGGAGCTATAAGTAGTTGTCCTTAGCTCTTTCCCAGTGATGTAGACACCTTCTGACATGAGGGGCTTATTTTCCATATATTTTATCACTTTGATACTGTGCATGGGGTTTTCTTAGCAAAGATACTGGAGTGGTTTGCCATTTCCTTTTCCAGTGGATTGCCTTTTGTCTAAACTCTCCACTATGACTTGTTCATTGAGCTATGCAAGCCCTTCCACCTTGACAAAGCAGTGATCCAGGAGGGGGCTTGATTTTTACTCTTGGAATATCATGCCTCTCCCACCCCCCACCCTCCAGCCTTATGCTCCCTGGCCTCTTGGTACTCCCAGCCACTTTTCAGCTTCTTTTTGTATGCTGTCTTCCTTCGTTACATTGTAAGCTCCTGGAAGGCAGAAACTGTCTCTTCTTCTTGTTTGTATCCCCAGTACTAATTGTACTACTTATTTAACAGAACTTTTATGAGAAAAGCACTCAGTCAACTAAGTAATGCAACCATATGAGTTGTTATTAACAGTTCTTCGAGCTCCTTAGACTCTGCTTTTCTCCATAAAGAGAAAATACTTTAGTGTAGCCCTTTCTGAGAGTTAGTTTAGGTAGGACTAAATGAAGGACCCAAAACAGAAGCTGTTGCACATATTTATTGATATAGGTGGAGTTAGGTGGTGCCTTGTATCTGTGCAAAGTCCCTTTTTAATTACTCAGATATCTCCCTGACTCATACCCTTCTGGACACTATG